CTCTTTAGCCTTATAGTATAGGCTAAAGTAGTTAGAGTTAAAGCTCTACGCCTCGCGTTTTACTATAGTTCTTTTAGTCTAAAGTTATCTCGTAGACTAGGAAAAAGAGAATAGCGTACTCTCTAGTAGCGCTACTACTACTATAGATAGGTTAGAAGTAATTAAGCTCGTAGTAATAGCTAAAAGGAAAGTTAGAGTTCTTATTATTACTACTTATTTAGAGACGCCCTAAAGGTCCGCTTAGGTCTATTAAACTTTCGGTAGAAAACAAGTACTTAGAGAGAATAGAAGCGAAGAGCAGATAAGTTGCTCTTCTTTATAGTAAGGCGTCCGCGGCTCTAAAGAGATTCTTTAAATAGAATAAATCTCCGAACTATCTCTAGATACTTTATCTACTATACCTCGAGCTATAGTATTACTCGAGCTTCCCTACTTATAGTAAGGCTATCTAGGCATAATTATTATATATTCTACTCTTAGCGAACGGATAAGACTAGGTATTAATAGTTATAATATACTTTCTATATAGTTTAGCGTTCTAATTAATATTCCGCTATACTAGTATACGTCTAGTATTATATATATAGGTATATAGCTACTAGATAGTATAGACTTTAATTAAGTTTAACTATATAAGGCACGCATTCGGGTAAGCGCGCGTTATATAAATATCCGATTTTTCCTCGAATAGCTCGAAGTAAGTTATAAAAATTCTAGGAAAGCTAGATCTCTAATTTTTTAGATATACGTTAGTATTATCTACTTCCTCTATCTCGCGTAACTACTTATCTAGAATTGTTATATACTCTTACGTACTAGTTATCTCTAGAATAGAATACTATCGCCTTATAGTACTATAATAGTTCGAGAATAGAGAGCCTACGGCTAAGAGTAACAAGCTAAAAGAGTATTACGAGCCGAGACGCTACTACGCTACGTTAGCCTTTTACTTGCGGCTCGTTATTAGCATTTCGCTAGCCCTTAATATTATTACCTTAATCCTATATAGAATTCTATATTCGAGGAGTACTTCGCTATCCGAGAGCAAATCTAGTTTACGTTAGTATTCGGACGACCGCAACCGCGAAGGATACTAAGCACTATAACAGATCTATTCTTTAAAGGCATAGACGATTAGCTCTACCTAAACGACTTTAAGGTAGTATATCTATTATCGTCGAAGTTTTCGCAGCCTATATCTATTACTAGAGACAAAGTCGAGGAAGAGTAGATTAAGATCGGAGCATTCTATAAGCTCGTATATGCGTTCTATTCCGCCCTACTTCAACTAAACATACGATAGACAAGCCAGCTTTTCTGCCTAACAAGTGGGCTGCAGACTTCAACTTCATTCCTAGAAAACATCTGCACTATACTCCCGACGACGGCGACTATGCTCTATATAGTGGCTATTCCGCGGACGTGGCAATGGTACACTACGTTCACTGCGTAAACCTTCTACGGGAGTCTCTTTGGTTCAACTACAAGTACTATCGAAGCATTCACATGACCTCGTTCAATGTGTCCGACAGCAAAGAGCAGGAAATAATTAACCACGTTAGCCATTGTGTAGACGCATCGCGAAAGATGATAATGTGCGAGGCAAGCCTGGAGTTATGGCCCTACATAACAAACGAGGATGGCTACAACGTAACGGACATGAGTGTTAGCCAGAGAAAGTGCAAGAATTATGAGGCAAGAAGGAAGTGGCTCGAGAAGTTTCAAGGACTCGGCACGGCGTATCCTGTTGATGATCACCATCCCTCGCACTGGCAAGTAGTTAGCTAAACTCAATGACACCTGAGAATACAAATGCAATCATGCGGGAGTTTAGCTCGCACTAGAATGCACGAGGTGAAGTGCAGGTTAACTTTGTCCTCCGCTAGGATTTCGCGGGACAAGCTTCAAATGCAGAGAGCTTCGCTAGGGCTGCCCCGCAATTCGCCTCGGGATCAAGGGGCGTTTCTAAAAAGCGGACGTAGGGAAGTTGTCATGTCGTAGGCCAGCAGCATCGAGGCCTCGAAGCGGGGAATCCTGGCCATAAGCGGCGGCAGGTTATTTACTGATCGTTCGTCAGCACTGCATATTTTCGGGGAAATAGCTAATATGCAGGTAGTATCTCCACAGCGACCCCGGCTTGCCTGTGCGCGGTTGTGTGGGCGATTAGCACTAAGGATCCTGGCACTGGCTTACTTCCAATCGCCCCGCTCGTCTAGCCCTAGGAGGTCCATGCGAGCTGCGATCTGACTTTTTTGAGCACTCCACAAAGAGAGGATATCGCCGAACGGAACGGATTCGAGACCGGAAGCAAGAATAAGCTCTCGTGGCAGCAAGTCGCCGTGGCGATCGACAGAACGAAAAACCGAACGTCCTCAACAGGAGTTACCCGTACTTGAAACTCGACTACAGCCTGGAAGTCGTCCTCGTACGGAAGTACCGAAACAAGCCAATTGCGCCGCGAGCTTGTGCAGGCGCAATTGCATAATGGCACAGTGGATGGAAGCGGGCATAGCACTGTACCGGATTTCACACTAGCAAAGCTACGGGAATATGGGAAAATCCTGAAGAAGCCTGTAGCTTCCAGTGCTCGGTTCTTCCAGATGCGAGCGATCTCGACCGCAATCTGTTCCTTGTACACTTTGCGCGATTTTGAGGCGTCACACGATCTTGGCCTTCCATCCCATCCGGTCCACAACTTGAGTCCTCACGTGCTCTGACTATAAGCACTGAACTCATGATTGCACATGCGCTCGCGTGTCGTGCCGCAGTCGAGGAGTTCGTGACAGATCATCTTCTTTACCTACGACGACATCCCACGATCTAGCATTACAGCTGTCACGCTTATAACTTCAGCATGTCAAAGCACATTCAGTCAGACCTGCAGACTTGCAGCGACAAAGGCGTGCACGAAGCGTCTGTTGCATATATCGAGGTCAATGCCGCGCTCGATGCGAGTGCTGCCGCGAAGGCAGAGAAAGCAATGACTCTTTGGCAAGGACTCAAGCTCTACCCGAAAGCCGTGGCGTGGTCAGCAGCCATCTCCATGTGTTTGATAATGGAAGGATTCGATCTGGTACTCATCAGCGGTCTGTACGGACAGCCGGCATTTGCCAGACGCTTTGGTGAACTTCAAATGGACGGGTCCTACCAATTGTCTGCGCCATGGCAAGCTGGATTAAACAACAGTGCTCTTTGTGGGGAGATACTCGGCTTGATGTTTGTTGGGCTCATCGCGGATCGGATTGGGTATAGGAAGACGCTTGTACTGGCACTCGTTCTACTTACCGGCTTCATTTTCATCCTGTTCTTTGCGCAGAATCTTCCTATGCTAGCTGCGGGCGAGGTGCTCTGTGGTATAGCATGGGGAGCATTCGTGAGTACCCCTTCATATCTCTAGATCAATCGAGCTGCTAATGCTTATATTCGCTCTAGCAAACGCTTACTACTTCTTACGCCGTTGAGGTCTGTCCCATTGTTTTGCGTGCTTACTTGACAACCTACGTGAATCTTTGCTGGGTAATGGGACAATTCATCGCTAGTGGTGTTCTTAAAAGTATGGCAGACAAGTGGGGTAGCTTGGCATACAGGTTGCCATTTGCTCTTCAGTGGGTCTGGCCTGCACCATTGATACTTATCATGGCTCTGGCTCCCGAATCTCCCTGGTGGCTGGTTCGAAAGAGCAGAGAGGCGGAAGCTAAACGCAGTCTGCTCCGCCTAACGACAAGATCAGATCCGAACTTCGACGTCAATCAGACAGTCAGCATGATGGTGTATACTACAGCGATTGAACGGGAGAAAGAAGCTGCTTCCAGTTACAGCGCATGTTTTCGAGGCACGAACTTGCGCCGTACAGAAATCTGTTGTATGGTGTGGGCGATCCAAATCCTATGTGGCGGGTACATGATGGGATTCTCGACATACTTCTATGAACAGGCCGGGCTGGATCCTTCGAATGCCTTCTCCATGACTCTGATTCAAACTGCCATGGGATTCGTTGGAACTATTCTCTCTTGGTTTCTGATCAATTGGTTTGGCCGTCGCACACTCTACGTCTGGGGTCAAGTGGGCATGATAGTCTGCTTGATGCTAGGGGCTCTCTTGGGACTCGCTTCGAAGAATCACCCTAGCCTCAATTGGGGAGTTGGATCCACACTCATGATCTATACCTTGGTGTACGATGCCTCGATCGGGCCAGTGTGCTATTCTCTCGTCGCGGAATTGTCTTCAACTCTGCTTCGCAATAAGACAATAGTGCTTGCGAGAAATGTATACAACGTCTCGGGAATCGTTGCGAATGTCCTTATAACCCGACAGCTAAATCCTTCGGCCTGGAACTGGGGAACAAGCACAGGCTTCTTTTGGTCAGGGTCATGTCTGTTGTGTCTGATCTGGACGTAAGTGGAGCATCGACACTAAAGTTGAAGTGTTCCTGGGTTCTGACCGACCTCATACAGGTATTTTCGACTTCCAGAGCCCAAAGGACGATCGTAAGCCAGCGACATGATCGTTAAGCATAAACAAGACTAATTACGGAAATAGATTTGCCGAGCTGGACATTTTGTTTGAGAACAATGTACCCGCCAGGAAATTCGCAACTACTACCGTGGATACTTTTGACACAAGCGCATGGCGCGGTTCCTATCATAAAGCTGATAAACCCAAGCAATCAACGGTCCATTTCGAGCGACAGGTTGAATGTATGTAAGCACCGAGCTTTACCCGTCGCCTTCAATGCGAAAATTCCGTGGCTACCTGTTGTGCGATGCTTGATAGAGATTAAAGGAACCAAAAGGTCTCGGGCCCACGAACAAAGTCACTCCCTACTGACGAACAGAAACACCACGGCCGGCGCCCGTGTAGAAACCACTTGTACCTAGGTAGTGCTGGTCATAGAGACATCACCATTTCCCCTTCCTGTATGTCCTCTCCTCCTAGTCATCTCCTGCACGAGTGATACATAAGCGAATATACGCTGTTCCTGGCCGCGCCGTTACCGCGTAGAGCCCCTTTCTTGTCGTGAGCATCCCAGTGTAGTCCTGCGCGCTACCATTATCATCTTGTCTCGATCAAGACCGCGGACTCAACGCATCAAATTTATACTGGTTCTCAGAAGTGCCTGTATCCTTCTGAGGATCGCACAGCCGCTTTTGAATTGTTAATGCAATCCTGCCTCTTTTCATAGGGACGAATGAATTCTCGTAAGTAGTCCATGCGTATTGCTGTCTTCATGCACCACCTGCACATTCCTTTTGTAGCTAATATCGTTGAAATACTACGCATGAATGCAATTATCGATTAGATCGATGTCGGCTCCTCTTTAGAGATCGATGCTCATATCGCGTAGAACTCGATACATGGAGCTGGGAAGCAGGCGATTCAAGAGCAGTGCAAATCCGAATATTGAGAGGGATTTGTGAATTGCCAAATACAAGGTTTGTTTGCACTTCTACTAAAATGTCCTAAAAAATTGTCTGCCACCGCCTATTCGGTTATGCCAACGTGTTAGTTACACCGATAGTGCGGCAGAAAACCACCTATCGCAGAAATTTATAGATATTAAGTAATGCTAGTAATATAACTATATAAGTATTAGTTATTTAGAATAAGAGAGGTAGAAGATATAACTTACTCGGTAACTTCGCTCTCTACTTTAATTTACTTAGTATATATACCTCCTACGTAACGGGTATATCCGCCTACGAAAAACTCGTAGTCGTTATTTAGATAGTATAGCCTATATCTAACTTATATATAGTATAGTAGCCGAGCAAATATACTTTTGCTTAAAGACTTTAGATTAATAGGATTCTCTAATCTACCTATTCCTAGCAACGTACTCGTAGTATTTATAGTAGCGTTAAATAGAAGAAGAGAGATAATAAATCGTACGATTATAGCTATTAGAGAGGAATGTTTTCTTAGCTTCTTTATATTAGTATAGGTCGTATTATAGAGAAGAGTAAGCAATAGAATCGAATCTAGTCTATACTTATATATTAAGAGTTATATAACTACTAGATACTCTTATAAGCTAGATAGTACGAGTAACCTATAATTTATAAATATAGTAGGAGATTTTTGCTCTATTTAGCGAACCGGGATAATATAGACTAACTTTTATATATAGGAGTAAGTTTACTCGGAGAAACTATCCTATTTCGCGTATAACGTATACGTATATATATAACTTTAAAACTCTCGATTAATCGACTAGGTTTTCGTATCTTATTTATTCTTATATATAATTAAAGTAGTAACTCGTACGAGGAACCTATACTAGTTAAAAAGTAAATATAATCGAGCTATATAGACCTAGGAAGTACTTAATAGTACGCTCTACTTACTACTAGAGTATAGAAGATAATACTAAGCAAACTTTAGATAGTAGTAGGGACCTCTATAAGAGTAAGCTTATACTCGTATCTAGGATCGAGTATATTATTCTTATAATTAACTCCTCGGTCTCTACTATAGGTTTGTAATAAAGTTATCTTATCCGAATCTAATCGAATACTACTATATTGCTTACGTATACGATTTACTAGGAAAATATAAGTTTTTTATTAATAGAAAAAGAGGCTAGCTAGCTATAGTATATAGTAAGGCGGTCTTCGCTATAGTAATTTAATTTAATTTATTTATTTATATTTCTTATACTAATATAGTTCTCTTACGAGTCTATATAGGAGTTACTACTTATTCGCTAAAGAGAAAAACTATAGCTAGAGCTCGAGTAAAAAGCTCCTCTACTTTTATTATTCGTCTTTTATACTAGGGAACTACTCGAACTATAAGCTGCTTCTTCTATAGCCTAGGTAGCGTTAGTCGTCGATATTATACTTCTCTCTCTTTCTTCGCTAGCCTCGTTTCCTCTATATTTCCTATACTAGGCTAAACTATAGAAGAATATTCTATTCTAAGAACTACGCCGTTACTATATAGAGTCTCTTCTCTATCGATAGTATTTCGATATAATCTTATATCTCTACCTCTTATATTATCTTATTACGATCTCGTTCGAAGTAAGAATAGAATAGTACGATATATTTCGCTATCTACCGCGCGAACCTATATAGGCACGCCGGAGATTCGTAGCTAGGTACTCTCTAGTAGTAGAGGTAGTCGTTTAGGCCGATATATTCTATTTATAGAAGCGTTACGATCGTATTCTCTATCTTATCTAGCCGTACTTAGATTTTATCTAGGTAGAAGTAGAACTCTATACGTATTACTATAGTAGTATACCGCCGGATAGCGTCGTATATAGTCTGCGCTCCGTACTAGTACGTCCGCTATCGGTCGCTCTAGGCCTTACGCGCGGCTACTCTAGGAGTAATAGTCTTATTATCTCGGTTATCTCGTTTAGTCTTCTATAGTTATTAGATACGCTATACGTAGCCGTCGCCTTAGACTCTATATTAGGCTCGAGCTTATAACGCTACGTACCGGCGTACTCTATCGATAATTCTATAGATAGGTATCGTCGCTATCTTCTTTATATACTTATATACTATCTTTTCTAGAAAGAGGTTAAGCGGCTCTATCTCTATCTTATATTCTAGCTCGGCTATCGCTATAGACTAGTACGCTTCTAAGATCGCGTAGAGGTACCGGTTCTAAACTACTTAAAGTAGGTAGACGCCCTTATTCTGCCTAATTCTCTAGTCCCTTTTATTATACTAGATCGGGCTTCTATATACTATCGTTAGCTATACGATAGTAAGGTAGATCTATTACGCCTTCGAGAACGTAGTACTCTATATACTATATACGAGCTATATAACTACTACTATCTATACTATCGCTCGTTCTATAGTCTTCTAGATATATAGACTCTACTTTAGCTTCGGGTCTAAATAGACTTATAGGATCCGGATCGTAGGCTATACTTCGTACTAAAATCCTATAATACGAATCGTAGCCTATATATTAAATAGTTTCGGCTTTCGAGTTAGGTATATTAGCTAGTATTTTTCCGGCGTAAACGTCGCTCTATACTTCCGGGCCTATTTCGTATAGGTCTTATAGACTCGCTCGAGTTTCTAATAATTTTCTATAGTCGACTAGCTAAAGGTAAGGATATTCGTATCGTCTACGAACTCTACTACGCTCGTATCTCGATTATTAAGCTCGGGTAGGAGTATCGATATAAAGAATAGGAAGAGAATCGGCGAGAGAGTAGAGCTCTATAGAATACCGGTAGTTATTACTCGTAGTATACTCTAGAAGTCGCCGATAGTAAGGTATATTATATAGTCTATTAAGAACGAGTAGATATACTATCCGACCTAGGTAGAGATTCCTATAATTTAGAGGTTATAGACTAGCCTATTATAGGACATATAGTCGAATACCTCTAATATATCGAGGCTAAGTAATATTATAACTAATTTATAGTTAGCTATCTAGATAGTCTATACCTATTCTATAAGTAGCTCGAGAGTAGTTATAGTAGATCGTTTCTACTATACCTCTATCTAGGTATCCGGGAGGAGGTAATACGCCTTAGTAAGCGTTATAATCTGCCTTATAATAATAGTTTCTAGTACCTTCCTAAGTATATTTAGTAGCGTAATAGGCTAGTATACTTTAAGCGTATCGTACGTTAGTTTTCCTAGCTTCTATAGAACGACGGTATTCGTATATCGAAATAGTATCGAGTAGTATACTCGCTTAAAGTATTCTTAGAATAGTACTATAAGTAGTCTAGCTATAATATCTTTATACTTATAAAGGAACTAGTTCGAGATACTATCTAGCTCTAGAGCTTTATCTAGCAGAAGACGTTTTAGTACTACTATAACGTCTCTTAGAGTTACTTTCTATAGTACTTCGAGCTCGAAAAGAGAGAGAGGAGAGGTATATATAGTAGGCGATATCGTTAAGGTCTACTAGTATCGAAAGTAGGAAGAAATAGTCTACTAGTACGTTTATCTTTACCTTATTTATAGTATATTAGCCGTTACGATTAGTAATCGTAGAGAAGTAAAGAAGTAGCGGAGGTATATACGCCGACGTCCGAGCCTACTTCGTAAGCCTCTATATTATCCGCGGCTTCTCGGTAAGCTTCTCTACTACTTCGCGCTATAGAATAGTCGTATTTTTCTTAATCTACTTTTTCTTTACGTTTTTTACTCTCTAGTATTTAGTATAGTCGTCCTCGTTCCTACTTATACTCTATTAATATCTTACTCTCCTCGTAGCGGCTACTTTCTCTATATACTCCTATATCTACTCGGCCTTAACCTACTAGTATAGTCGGCTAATAGGTACTATCGCTTAAATAGTATTAGTAATTATCTTCTAGAGTAGAGTAACTTTATAGTTAATATTGCTATTTATATCTAATAGTCGAGAGTATATAGACGCTTAGGTAAGTTATTATATAAGGTCGTATTAGATAGAGGTCTAGTCTATTCTCTTCTATACTTACTAAACTCTAGGTTCTTATCTTAGAGTTAGAGCTATAAGAATAGAAGTAATAATTAGGATATAGTCGGAGTTAGAGTTAACCTCCTCGTATAGTTAGTACTATAAAATCCTCTAAGCGATCTACTTAGTAGCGAATATAAGGTCTAGTATACTTTCGCTCTATCGACTCTACTAAGTAACTATTCTTAGAGGTAGGATAAGCTAGGTTTATACCTATTCTATAATATCGATAAGAGTATTAGCGAGAGTATACTAGACTAGTATAGTACTTCC